CTACGACGAACTATCCGGAATTAATTTTTCTTGTTGAAACTGAGAAAACTGATGGCGAAGAGAGCTTTTTGGGCACGAACTTTTGTTATTTCAGTACAAATACGTGAAGAAGTGTCTGTTCTATATAGAGATTTGAATCTCCGTCTCAAGCATTGTTTTTTCTCGGGATTAACCACATCATATCTTTCCATATTCATTCCATGCGTTTTCATACCGGTACGTTTTCATAATTTACAACCGCTGCTCCTTTTTTTTTTTATTTTTTACTGTAGTTAGGAGCAGTAGCTCAAGTGTCATTAGGCAACGTTTTTGAAAGAGGAAAATGTAGGTGAATTTTGATAAATTGCTGCACATGAGTGGGTATTTACGAATGAGATAACAAGCTTGAATAAAAGTGTCAGCGTTTCCTTACCTAGAAAATTCATCCTGGAGGCCGTGGAGGTTGGGATTTTGTGGACACTGTTTCTTACTGCGTACAGGGGTGTAAATCTGAAATCAGCCTTTCCCCCCGTAGCCTGACTCCTCAATTTAATTTCAAAAACTCCATGTTATTGGCTGTTCGAGCGCAGGTTTTTAGTTTGGTTAAGTACACAAACACCAACAACTTTTTTAGTTTCTTTGAGCAATGTTGCACCGTCTGGTAGTTAGCTTGCTGGTGATCATGAATTGACGTCCGCTTCATTTTTTGAAGGGATTACCAACTCAGCGGATTTCCTGACCGATACACTTGGCAAGGTTTTTGCCATTTCAAGATGTTCTTTATCTGTGTACACTCCGACGGGCGTCCTGAAACACTGAAACTCCTGGACCAGGATGGGGCATCTTATTGGCCGGGAACTCGAGCAGCACTAATTCTAAATAAATTTCACATTCTTTTAATACTTTTCCAACACCTGTAAGATTTGCCGTTTGTGCGATGATCATCGATATTTGCAGCAGAAATCGCCGTCTGGTTTACCGCAACACATGTATATTGACTTGCTCTGGGTTATCGAGCTCCTCTTCATCGTCTTCTTCACATCATTCTCACTTTATGCCACCTATCTGTTGCCCATCCAGTACTGCGATTTGATTCATCGGTGTGCGACACATCTCGGCAAATGGGTACAAGTGGAGCGGATAGCGGCCACCGCTGGCAATTCAACGCAGGCCGCAAATTTGGCCGCAGCCATTGCTGCAGCATCTACGTACGTCTCGACAGTGCATTTAACAATCGTTTTACTCCCGAACTTATGTGTGTTTGAAAGTGCGTAAAAGGCAAACGAATGTGTCTGTCACGTGTTTTCCGGCTGTATGACCAGTTTACTGGTGTATCTGGGAACTTAAATATTGACCTCTTGTGATGTCGCAGGACGCTAGTACCAGTACTTTAAATTTTATTAGATTTGGAGCAGCGACAGATAAATGAGGATCAGATTTGCGTGCAGATAAATGAGGATCAAATTTGCTTGCCTTTTTCAAATTGGTTTGGCGTAGGCGTGCAAGCAGGCTTGTTACCCATGAAGAAGACTGTGTCAGAAATGTATTTTTTTTTTTTTTTTTGCTGACACGGGTCTCGTCTTCTTGCACTTCTTGGCTGAGCACTGTTTCTTCTATGCCGGGAAAATTCACCTTTTTTTCCCAGTCTTAAAATGGGGACTAATGGGGCCATTCCTGTGACTTGTTGCAGTTGGTTGTGCGTGAGCAAGAACAGCTGTTTTCCAAATTGCTTTTGGATAAGATCTAGGTAGAGGCTTTGACACAAAATATGGTGTAACTGCGCCTCTCCGCAAACAAGGAAGCAGCAAATGTTTTTGTGGGTTATCAAATCGACATCAGGACTGTTGTTGTACCGTGGATGAAAGAAGACAGGACAAAAAAAAGCCAAGAAATGATGTTTGACCGTTCTCAAAAACTCACTGAATAGTTCAAGATTTGCTTCTGTTGTTCTCATCTCTTGTTGCGACCAAATG